TAAACCACAGCTTTACCGAGTCTATGTTCAGGTTCTATAAGTAAACAGACTATAAGGTTCCTAAGTGGTTCCCAATTAATATATATGTCTTACTGACAAACAGTCAAAAATGAGATCAACATCTCCAAACCCAGCATCCTGCCTACTTCACTCCTGGGTTATTCACCAGATGCTGGAAGACTGACCTTGCTGGCTCTTCCTGGTCGACCCTTCTTTCAATGGGCTTGCATCTGAAAGCAGGGGAAATGTTCATTGTCTACTGTCCTCCATCAAAACCCTGATATCTGCTTTCCAGTAGACACATGGGTCTCAGTATTTTCCATACACCTCCTTTTCAAACAACAACAAACACAAAAAAATAATCCCTCTTTAAGGAATCAATGGTTTATTACAACCATGTACATATTATATAGTGAAAATGAAGATTCCATAATAACCACATTTGCTATTTTCTACTTTTTTTAATGCCAGTAGCAGGCCACAGGATTATCTAAAAAACACTAACCTACAACTAGAAGAGCGTTATTCTGGTTCTAACCCAACTAAGGAAATACTGATATAACCTGAGTACTTTTCCTTCTTCCTCTCCAAAGTAGGGTAGATAACAGACGGGAGAGCAAGAAAGGAAAAGCTCTTCCCTAGCATATCAGAAGGTTTTGTTCATCAGCTCTCCCAACACAGACCTATAATTACTTTAACCACTTTAATGTACATTCATAATGTTAGTCCAATAGCACCACCATTTTCAGACTTTGAGCATCTAAAACAAACTGTACCAACTAAATAATTTCTAATGTTTAATTAGGCTATTCTGTAATCATTTACAAATGAAGTGAAGATAGAATAATGAACTCATATAGACACAAGAAAAGGCTCAACAAATTATGAAATTTTGCAATGTCTAATCACAAAACTTCCCTTTTTTCATCCATACAGATCAAAACATGGAAACTACAGATTCTCTGCATCTTAATCAGAAAGGCATGATTACAACAGAATCCCAATAATTTGTAGATTGTCATCTTGCCATCTTCAGACGCTGTTTTTTTTTTTCTTTTTTTCTTTTGTTTTAATGAGACAGAGTTTTACTATGTAGCCCTGAGTGGCCTGGAACTCAGAATGTAGACTTCCATCTCACAGAGATTAGTTTGTCTCTGCCTCACAAGTGCTAGGGTTAAAGACAACCATCATCTGCCTGGCAAGAGGCTACAATCAAACTATTTAAAAGATGTGTTGTCATGAAATTCTTCAGTAATTAAATACTGCAATGATTTCTAAAACTGATTAAACTCATTTTATAATGGATTATTACTCAATACAAAAAGTACAACCTTTCAAAAAAAAGTTTTATACAGATTTCTCTAAGATCACCTATATTATAAAGTCACTGATAAGAGAATATTGTTTTTCCACTAAAGCTCCAGTGCATTACTTAGTATGTGTCAAAACTAGGATGTTTTCTCAGCAGAATACCATAAAAAATGACATAGGAATACTTATAAAATCATTATTCTACATAACCAGTCATGACTAATTAGAAAAGTCTGTTTCTGACAGAGTATAATTTTAATAGGTCTTGTTTGACCTAAATATATTAAAAGTATTACAGAATGTGACAATTTAACTTCACACTCCCCACAAAAGAAATAGTATTGCTTTTACAAAAGAGTTAAACTAAAACTATGAAGAGATACATGAAAAAAAAACCCTACAAGCAACAATAATTTCTCAAGTTTCAGTCCACACAGCATAACATACTACTACCATTCTAGTGATCTATTTATATGGAGAGAACTAACTAAAGAGATAGTACAGCACCTCTATTCAGATTGACAAAGAGAAAGCCACAAAAAGAGAAGTCAGGAAAGGTGATATATTAATTTTCAATAAAACATATACTATTCGACTTAAAATATAATCCCTTATTCATGGATTGGCCTTTCTACTTTTTCAGTGTTCAAGTATGTTTATGACCAATGGTTAGTTTTTATTGCCCTTACTAGCCAAATAGAAAGCCAGGAATTTGATTAAATACTAAACCTAAATATTAAGATAACAAGTATAAAATGACAAATACTAAGAAATCTTATCAAAACTAGATGTTGGGATGAAGAACAGGAAAAAAGTCTATAGCATGACACAGGCATGAGGGGCGAAGGGAGGCAGACATAGATGGGCCAGGAAGGGCCTTCCTTCCAAGTCAAAGCAAAGAAGGCACATTTTACATTTAGCAGTGACAGAAAAACCTTGAGACTGGGACAGCCACATGTGCAAACAAGTGCAAGCGGAAGAACTTTACAGGTGTGTCTTACTCAGCTCGCTCAGGGAAGAGCAGAAGCACTGAGGCACTGGAAATTAACAAAGGGACACGTTTTCATTCTTAAAATTAAAATAAAGTTCCTAATCAACAACACTATGAAAATTCATCAATTTAATTTCTAAATTATAATTAATAATAAAAAGGAAGTTAATCAGAATGCCAGCTTAATACTAACTATGTAAATCAGGAATGTGATTTATCCATCCAGTTTCTGTTTCCATAAAAGTTGTAACAATAAGATATGTAATGTGTTTAGGATATAAAGAAGCAAGGTAAAGTGATAACTAAAATTAAGATTATAAAAATTATGGGACTAGAAATAGTTGCTATTAGACTTCCATAAAGACTTCCATAAAGCACTTTAAAACTTACCTACTTATGCTGTACAAGGGCTCTACGTTCAATCCCTTGTACCACAGAAGAAAAGGACAACCATTTCTATATATGTAAAGCATAAGATATGCATGGGATACTTTAAACTGTTTCATTTGCATTATGAAAATTATATGAAGAAAAACACTGAATTAAGATAACCTTTTGTGTGGCTCCTGCCTGTTTAAAAAATATGCTTCAACTATCAAGAACACACTACCTAACCGAGGCTACACTTGAAGACATCAGACACAATGCTTGTGCCAATAAAAGAAACTTTCACCTGGCATTACATTTGAACCCAAGATTCCAAGCCTATGCCGTAATTAAAAACTCAACGGACTAGGGAGCAAGTCTTTCGAGAAGTACACCAACCCATTAGAACAAAAAACAAAACGAAAATGTGATGCAGTCACCACACAACATACAGAACATGGAATTTGTACTTCTTTTCCTTCTCCTAGAATCTAGTGTTGGCTCACTCTAAGTCCCCTAAGCAAACTTTAGTGCATTCTGCCACTGAACCTTCCTATACCAGGCTACCTCTTAATTCGAAGAGAATATATATATATATATATATATATATATATATATATATATATATATA